TGGCACCTCGACAACTCACAGTAGAACTGCTACGAATGTGGGGTCAGTATACTATAAGATGCGTTCCTGCTGTCTGGTTATTTGTGCACTGTAAGATGATTGTACCGACGTTTGCGTTGGATTTTGGACCACCTTACACATGCCCGAAACCCTATCATACCCTTGGAAGGGTGAAGCAGTTCGATCCTCTAAGCCCTAAACTGCAGCATGCATGGTACCTGATAGTTGACCAAAAATCTTGTTCCCAAAATAACAAGTATGAAAGACATATGTTCCCCACATACTCCTCACAGGCCTACAAGATTTCCAAAAACGGACGTTTATACTTCGTTGGTAGTAGGGAATAAAGGCAGATAGTCCTTATGTATACGCTCCCCAAATCGCGTTTCCCTTCTTCCCTATGGCCCCTGGGAAGTAGATCAACAACCATATGTAGCTGTCTTGCAGGTGATTGGCATCCTGAAGCCCGAATCCAACCCTACCATTTAGCCCCTAAACCTTAAACCCGAAAACCCTAAGCCTCTAAGGTTAGTAAGACGGCCCCAATAACATGGCCCTTTCGGCCTTTTAGAGAAATTCTCGAAACCCTGAAGGTAGGGTATATAGCAGGTATGTAAGGATCCGAGGGTTAAGGGCCTATACTAGGGGCCCATGGTTTCAATCAACCTTAGACCTAAGCCCTAAAACCCTAAACCTAAAGCCCCAAATGGCAACCTCTCAAGCGGGCCTAAGTAAGGGGAACCTATAATATGTAAAGACTTCCTCAGACCTCCCTAAGGCTCCCCAAGGTCCTATACAGTCTTCTTTGGGGTTCCCATATGTAAGGTCCCCTTAAGACCTCCCGAAAATATCTTAAGTACCTAGTTTCTTTCCTTCTGGTTGCAAGGACAGTCAGGTGTATCACATATGATACATTTTAGTCAAGCACTCGCCCGCCTAGACTGCAACTATTCAATTCAACAAGCTGAAATGACAAGCCTTAAACCACCAAGATGCCATATCCGGCCCAAAACAAAAAGCGCCACCAAATCCAAAGAAATCGTGGTAAGCATCAGTCAAGCAGTCCCCTGCGCTGTCTAGGTCTTCCTTCAGCGGGACGCAAGTGGGCGCACATGCTTCCAGATTGCGGCAGAACAGACCCCCGACGGATCTTTCATCTTCAGTTCTACAACGGCGAGAACTTTGATCGGTAATCAGTTCGCCCGTGGTTCTGCATGGAAGTAGAGTTGAATTCTGACTCCATTGCTAGACTTTGCCTTCTTCTGCAATGAACTTTGGTTTTTACTTCTTCCGCCGTTCTTGAGTGTTCGCTCTTTGTGCAGGATCGTTCTGATCCGACGGGGATCCTAGAAGACTTGGACTTTGGCATGTACATGTTACATGTATGGATTGTGTGGAAGAAAGTTGTGCAGATTCACGGAATCCAAGGCACTCATAAGCGAAGAGCCGTCTTTTTTTTTGAACGCGATCTTGAGAGCGAGTACGGAGGTGAAGTGTTAACAGCAGGCCCGCAACGCTCCCACGAAGAAAATGCAAAGGGCACGGCAACACCGCACGTGTTTTAGAAAGAGAAATCAAGATATGAAAGTTCTCTCAGACCTTCCACTGGGGATAGATCACTGAAGTCTCTAAACTTACTCTGTTAATGCTTTTTTCATAAGTTGATCGGTGTTGTCCTGATGTGTCTTTCTTTTGCTTCAAATTTATGTTGCCATTTCTGCGCGGCCCAGCAATCTACAATGAGGATCCTATTTGGGCGCCCGAATTCTCAGAGACCCACGATCTGAGGACTACCAATCTGAGCTGAGCTAGAGCGTTTTGAACAAAAAGCCCTAAACCCTGCACCCGATTGTCATCCTTAAGTAGATATGAAGTGGAGTATATGGGGATCTTACTGCGACTCTGGGCAATTCCATATTCTATCTACTTGTGGGAGACTATAGCGCCTAAACTTGCTGCCAAGGAACGATGCAACTCGGCACAACCAGATCACGGCAAAAGGTCGGTGGGTTCAGGGCTTATCCCTACGAGTCCAAGTACCTAGATTGGATGCAATTCGGGACCAACTGGTTGCCCATATAGATACTTTGGGCCCTAAACCTTAACCCCAAGCCCATGCGTCACAATGTCTTGCTTGGATACTCCCAGAGGGTCCATGTACCCAATAATTAGGTACTTGGGATTTGGGTAATAGTAATTAGAGTAAAGGTGTTGGGTAAGGATATGATTGTTAGGTACTTGGACCCTTAGGGCCTTGAACCTTTTCCGATTGAACGACCGGCGGGTCTGAGGGCTTCGCTGCATAAAAATGGTTTGGGGTTCAGGATTTAGGGTTGCTACGTATGGCCCTTCAAACGGGTTCTGTAGGGGATATATAGGGTTTGTATAACCCAGACCCCGGATTCACAAACCCCCTCCTCTTACAGGGATTACAATAGGGATCACTATTAAGGCGCAGGGGGTTATAATCATGGGTCTACGGAAGAAAATTGAAACTAATTACCGCAGTATCTGGTGTGTAGGGCCTAACCTTTAACCCCAAGTACCTCGAGTTTAGAAGTCATTACCCATTTACTTAACGGGTATTAGACATACAACTGTAGGTAATCGGAGTGCCAGGCTGATTGTGTGGTGTTGTTTCTTCGTGTTTCTTGGGCATACCGTGCTGTTGTCGCTCTTTTGGAAGTTTAGCCTGGTCCTAAACCCTATATCACTATCTGTAAGATTATATATGCATATATACATACCCCTCTTCTAGTTTTGCCGAGTCTTTGCTTAATTCCACATAAGACGATTCTTTTTTGCTGCCTATGGAGGCATAATGCTCGGAGGGCCAGGGCGACTTAGTCGTTATCCCTCCAACAACCCATCTGATTTTCCCGGTGAGTCTATCTGACTCCCAAGTGCGCCTTCCTCAGAAAACCTTCCCCTTCCGGGAAGTTGCCGGCTATTGTCGATAAACGAGAGCGGTGCGCGAGAAGTCCCAAAGCCCTGAGCCCAAAAATCGAAAGCCAAACTCCCAAGACTGTTAGCCACAGCTACCTGGAGGCTCCCGTTTAGAAGTGGGAATCCGTAGTTGCAAGTAGTCAGAACCCACTGTTGGGTGTCAATAACCTTTCAGATCACTACTAACAGTTCCCACGAGTCTCTGAGTAGTCTCTGAAGCCTGAAGCCTAAACCCTGAACCCTAAACTGCAAGCCTCAAGCCATCCACCCTTTCCCCAGCTACAGTTTTTTACACAGATACCCATATGGCCGTAGAATTCTTGTACGGTGATTGTGCACCTCAAATTAGGCCTCAGCATCTGGTGCTAATTCATGTTTCTAGCGTAAACGCCCGGAGACCACATACAATCGAATTTCCTTGTTTGTGTTCCATGTTCTTTGCCATTGGATTCTCCATTATTGGGGGTAATGCTTACCCAAACCTGCTCTACAGCTTGTTTTTTGCAAACGCTAAAACCTGTGTGACATATACCCCTAAATAACCCCTACACGACTCCAGTCTCCTCACATTTGACCTCAACCCTAAGTTATTCGGAGCCCTCTGATAATCGCCTCGCCCTAATCTCTCCCTAGCAGTAATCTCCGCGCCCCCACTCCCAATCTTACATATTCCCATCGTGTTATACCACTGCAATGTATAGGGAAGATTTGAATTTAAGGTGGGGTCGGGGATTTTGATATGATAGGACTTAGGGTTTCGGGTTTAAGGGGGAGTGTAAAGCGCCTGAGGCTTCCACCATGGAGTGGCTTTACCTCCAAGGCCGGCTTCTGGCATTTAAGGTTTAGTCTAAACTCCTTAGAGGGGATCATATAGGGGATTAGTGTAGGGCTTATTGAGGGGGATGCTTGGAGTTTAGATTATGGCTCATTGAAGCTCTTGGGGTCTTTGGGCTCCAGGGGGTATAGGCTTGGGGGTGAAGGTTTAGGATTTAGGGGTTTAGGCTTTGGGGTTCATAGCGGTTTGGGGGTCAGATGTTAGGGGTGTAGGGGCTCACGAGGTAAAGGATGTAGGCCTGAGAGAGTTTTGGGCACTTTTAAACGCTTGTTGGGGGATACAACCTGTAATTCCTGTAGGCCGCAACCCCCTAAATTGAATCAGTGTGCAGGTAGTGTCTGAGCCTAAATCCCGAACCCTAAACCCCAAACCCTAAACCCCTAAACCCTAAACCCTAAGCCTTAAGCCGTAAGCCCTGAACCCTGAACCTCTAAACCCCAGATCCTCAGAACATCAGACCTATAGGGTTTAGGGTTTAGCCCTAGTCCTGGTCGTTTTACAGAATCCCCGCTGCCCTGGAAGCACCATATCCCCTAATTAGGGGATATACTTGGAGAGTCAGGGGGACTTGGTAAGTATACTAATAACCCCAATAAGCCATAGAGTAGCTCCAGCTATCCCCATTATTAGCTAATTACTAAATCCCCTGACCCTCCAAGTACCTCCCATCATATTTGGGATCCTTGCTTTTCGTATTCTTAGCTTTTGAATACTGCTCCCTAAGCCCTAAACCCTAGGTTTCGGGCTTTGTCCTTATACCAGAACCGGTTCAGTCAGATGAGGACTTCAGGTCGCCCTAACCCTATTTGGAAGGTCAGGAGGACATAGTACGGGTTTACCCCGCGCTGTCTCTGAGGTCCGAGCAACTGAGCGCTACACTGCAGAAAGCACATCATCAGAATTGTCGCTCAACCAAAGGTAGGGGTTTAGGGTTTAGGGTTACATGCATGTGAACTACAGTCAACAAAAGGGGATATGGGTTCCTATTAAACAACATAGTAGGGACCGGACTACCAAAAGGGACTCCTGTGTGCACTCTTAAGGTACCTTCGTAATCCTAGCCTTGCCAATGGCTCATATAACCCCTATAAGCCATGTAGCCATGTAATAACCCCTGTTCTCTCTTGTCATCAAACTACTTACTAATCAAGCCCCCCCCTAACCCTCCCAGTATAACGTCAACTTCTCTAAAAAAGCCTGCCCCCTGGGCCCACATGGCCTGGAATGTGCGCGCAGACGTCCGTCTCAGAGGCGGCTGCTTCAAATGTAGGCTTAGAGGAGATTGAGAGGCTTGGGTATTATAAGGGCTCTTGGTAACAAACCTGCGTTAAATGGGCTTTAATGACACTGTAGACAATGGCGCCAGCCAGATTGAAGTTTGCATTGTTCACGTTGATACTCACATCATGAAGGTCGCTGTGTTGAGGTCGCCTGAAGTTCATCCATGAATCCTAACTTCAGTGGTAATTTTTGGTAGCTGAACTACGTAAGGTTACAATCTTCCGAACAAAACACAACTCAAAAGGCGGACAAAATCTCACTCTATATTGGAAACTTCAGCTTCCGCAGACAGAACACTCACTAAACTCTAAACCCTACTTGACAGCATTCCAAAGAAGAATGGAGCAGGTTACTTTGCCAGTCTGCAACACGGGCCGCTACGCAGAAGTACTACCTTGGTACCTTTCTGAGGGTCCCCATAGATTGGGTACTGCCCCCCCTCAGTAATAGTTGGATAATAATTATAATAGGGTTATTGGATGGGGGCAGTACCCAACCCATAGAATTGTAGTGTCTTGGGGTATAGATTTTGGTCCCAACTTAGGGAAAGTACAATAGAGTTGGAAAACACACCACTATCGTTTTGAGGTCTATTTGACGTAGCCTTGACAGTAATTATGCTAGGAACCTACGACCATAATGTTGGTAATTACTTCGGCATCTACATTATCCTCACTTGGGGCTACCGTTCATGGAGGGAATCCTGGACCACTTCAGCTACCTAAGCCCGGGTACTTCCGAAACTTTTGGAGGCTTCAGGTGATACGGGATATGTTAGTTTCCCAAAATACCCCAATATAGACCCCAAAATACTATAGTACTTGTTATAGGGAGCCCCAAAATGCCACCCCAAATTTTGGGAAACCCCATTTCTCGTGTCCACAAAAAGACATGGGAGCTTCCCAGAACCATCCGCACGCAAACTTTGATACATGGCGGCTTCCCCAAAATTAGGGGTACCATTTTGGGGGTCCCAATAAGAAGGACTGTAGTATTTTGGGGCCTATATTGGGGTTCCTTTATGCAGGGAAACTACCATATGTGTATGAAGAGGCAGCCAGTCAGAACCCTAAACCGTGTGGACTCCACTCCTCTCACTTTAGCCACCAAAAGCTTAATGTCGAGGGGACCTTCAGTTCGTAGGCAAAACATGAAGGGCTTATGGGAAACATTCTGGGGGTTTATGAAGGGACTAAAAAGGGACCCAATCTTCCTCTCCATTCTCATGTCTTGGGCCCTGATTGGAACCAGGCAAAAAGATGATCCCTGAACCCTAAACCCTGAACCCTAAACAGAAAGCAAGCCTCATGATCTGGTAGCTAAGCTTAATGCAAAAAGCGGGTTATCTATCATGGCCAGTATACCGGGTTGCTGTTAAGGAATGCAAATAAAGATACGAAAGTGATGAAAATCTATTGTTCCTTAAAGACACATAATCTGATAACTTATTTCTAAGTCCCTTAACAGCAACCCAGTACAGGGGACTAAAGTGACTAAAGGGTACTACCCGATGATAACTTAGGTTTTGCCTACCTGAAGGCTCATGGGACCTAGTAACCACTTATACCCAGGCTTGTACACTAACTTTTTTTCTGGGTTGCTTACTCCTATGAAGGTTAAGCGCATTCTAAGTAGGGTTATAAACCCACTTAGAAGTAGTTAGTAACTCCCTTGGACTTCCAAGCATTTTGAGAACAGCTCAGGAATGCCAAGTTATCGAAAATTGCCAGTTGACCCAATATTCCAAACCTTACTCTAACACACCAAATGCTTTGCGATAGCCAAGTTGCAAAAGTTTTTCGGAAATTGTCAATCTCCTCGGCTTCGAGGAGTCCGTTGGAGTCCTCCGAACTGCAGTTGGCTTGCTGGTGGTTAGTAATGGAGACATATGGATCTCTAGAGTACTTCCTATATAGACCTCAGTGTCACGTGTTGTATTCCATTCCTTCCTTCCTTACTGACTACCAGTAAGTTTAGCTATGCCCCAAAATCATGCATCCTGTTTTGGGCGCCCTCCAACTTCATGGTTCATGGGGTTACAATGAGCCCTTTGTCCGCCGGCACCCAAGTTTAGCTGAAAAATGCATTCGAGTCTTTTTTTGCATCCTGAACCCTACACATTCTTGGCCTGGTCACCTACCCACATTCCTTGCAACATGTGGGTTTCCCCAAATTAGGGGTACCATTTTTGGGGTTCCCATAATTAGGACGATAGTATTGTGGGGTCTATATTGGGGTCCCCTTAATTTGGGAAAGTACACTAAACCCTAAACCCTAAAACCCTATTTTTTCGGGGACGGTGGGCTCAGGTGGCTGATGCCTATGGCCTATGGGCACCTTTCTCCAAGGCAGCCCTCCATGCCCTCTTGATCGCAGTTTACGTGAAAGCATGGGGCCGCCGGAAAGACGCTTCTTGAAACCCTCCGATCTTCCTGAAAACCCTAAACCCCTAAGTCAAATTTCCGCTATCTACCTGCAAGGCAACCTCGCTGTACTTCGAATATTCGTTGCCAATCCTGTTCTTGGGTCCCCTATATTTTTGGATGGCAATCCCTAAATCCCAAACTCAGACCAGCTCTCCCAGCGTGCTCCTCATCAGCCTGCTGGAAAAGCTGCAGAGTGATGCTAACCTCCGGCTGTAGAGTTGCGAGCGTTAGGGGTGCCAGAGGTGTTAGAGGTCTAGGGGTGTTAGGGATATGAGGGTTTTAGGCTTTGGGGTGTTTAGGGTTTTGTGGCTTTGAAGGTTTTAGGGTTTAGGCCGGGGCTGTTCTGATTTCGGGTTTAAAGTCAGATGCATATCTGAAGTGGGTGAATGGGTAGCAGATGTAGATGCAAGTATAGGCAATGATACAAGAGCTACGCAGAGAACCCTAAAGGGATCCACCCTAAACCCTAAGCCCTGAAACCGATTAACTTCTCCAAGCCTTCAGCTTCTGGGGCTTGGCGCAGTTACTTCACCACGAGCACAACGAAAAGAGCCACAGGATATTGACTGATCCCTCTTTTTGGAAATGATCCTTCAATAGTGCCGTCGAGACGGCACCCAACATGTTGGAGAAACAGATGCAACCCTACTTTCAAACCACAACTGTGATTTTTCACACGCGAACTACACTACACCATGCTCCAGCCCAGACCGTTTGCAGGTTCAACCCCTCAGCCCCTGCTGGGCAAAAAAAGGAATACAACCGCCAGCATTTACGCGCTCAGGACGTAAAAGCTTCTCAGGTCCAGGAGGCTCACTACGGTTTGGGTTTTGGGATTACGGATTTTCGAAGACATCGTTTAACCTTTCCTGGAACCTTGTTCGGACATTTTGAGGCGCGGGCAAGATGAGTTTTTGATTGTGCGGCCCCTCTGTGGGCCTGTCTTCTGGCACCTTGGTAGTTTCAAGAAACAAGTATGGGAGTTAGGATTTAGGGTTCAGGGATTGAGGCATAGGGTTGTGAGGAGGAAGTCTCAGATATGAGGGGGCCTTACAAGGATCTTGGGGAGTTCGATAATCTTTGTTATGGGTCATCCTTACAAGGCCCTTAAGGGTTCCTCTGCGGTCCAGAAAGGGAGCCCCTAACCTTGAAGTCTAAACCCTGCTGCAATATGCGGGAGGGGAACCCTACTTCAAGGAACACAGAATAACATTACAAGAGATATCAGCACATGAAACTACTAGCCAATCATGCTCCTGTGAATGAGCGATTGGATTTTCTCAGATGCAATATTCCAGCTAAGTGGGCATATCAACCCCAAACCCTAAACCCTAAACCCTAAACCCTAAACCTTGTTACAAGACACTAACATCATCTCCTCTGCAACCCCTAATCCCTGAAGCCGCCGACCTCCTGTAACAACCCTCCAAAGTGCAGGGGCCTTTCATGGGGGTAGGAGAGATTCCATGGAATCCTTAAATAACTTTAGATATAACTCTTAAGCCATCAGTATACAACCCCAAAAAAATCCGTAAATATCCCACCTTTAAACCCAAACATATCCTTATATACCATGATGATAGATGAGGAGGCTTTGCAAAACCATGCGTTGCCTGTTTCCCCGGTCCTCATAACAAGGATCGTACTATTCGGCTGTAAATACGTTCTACGTTACACAAGCCCTATAAACACTGCACAATCCCAGTTTCCATGTCACCTCCGTTGTCTTTTCCACGTGAATTCTCTGTTATTGGTGCAGTATATGGTATTTGCCCAAAAAGGTACCCCAAGAACGTCCCCTTAACTTTGCCACACCCTCACCTGTGTCACATGGGTCCCAATGTTGTGAAACATGCAAGGCTAGGCTGAGCCCCGCACTCTGAACGCTGCCATTGAATTTGCGATGCAAGGTCTCAATGCCTTGAAGGTAAAGGGTTTAGGGTCGAGGGTTCAGGAGATAGGTTGGATACTGCCCCCCAGGTAACAGCTTTCAATAGGGTGAACATTCCTGCAACGGCTACATACAACTATGATATGCATTATAATCCACGTTTCTGCCTTGGGGCAGTATCTAATCTGTGCCTCTTGGTTTGCGCTCAGGGTTCAGGACACAGAAGAAGTTTACTAGTTTGATGGGTTCAGATCGATGGTTGAGCAAAGTTAGCTCAATAAGGCATCACTGATCTTAAGCTCTAAACCCTAACCCTCAGACCCTAAACCCCACCCCTCAACCCAAAACCCTAAACCCTAACTAAACCGTCTAGGTGCTCGTATTACCCTGGTTCCTATAGCAGGGAAAAAAAGATACCGGCTGGCCTCGCTCGATAGATTGGAGATGCTTTACGCGACCTGGCTTTAGGATTTGGGGTTTAAGGTTTGGGTTTTGGGGTTTAGGGCTTGGGGTTTGGGGTTTAGGATTTGGGGCCTAGGGTTGCAAGTTTTTCAGTGGCGTAGGCATTAAGGAGAGATTATGTAACGAGAAATGGGAACCGACCATCTACCCTTATACTCTACCCCTCTCAGAAGGCCTAATCTGTTATAGAACATAATATGAAGTTAGGTGCCCAAAAAAAGGAGCTGGGCGTAAGTGAAGTAATTCCCCCTCAGAGTAACTTGCATAATAAAAACTATAAAAAGCCCTGAAATAAAACCCTTTAAAAACAGCTACTGCAACGGGGCTGACCCAGGGCACAAGGGTGTAGGCAGTCCTGGTCTTGGGTGTGAGGTGCAGGGCCCAGGGTCTCACCTTGAGCCCGGGATTTAGGTCCTGGGTGGGGTGTTCAAGAACTGGGGCGGACGGTTCAAAGCTGTGGTTTTGGGTGTCGGCTTTCCAGCTGCGGGTTGGGGGTTTCGAGCTGAGTGTTTGCAGATTTCTAGGCAGCATGCTAGGCTCACGAGAGTTTGGGCACTGCGTGTCTCGCAAACACGTCCCATCCACAGCCCCGCATAGCGCACAAAAAAAAAATCCGATACACGATGCATGTTCGGGAGCTAAATATAGCTACATGAAAGCCCCAACTTAAGTTCCCGTGCCCCTTCACAAATGTCAATGGTGCTTTTGTGGCCAGTCTGCCCGCGGAACCCGCAATAGAGCTGAGCCCAAAAGACCCTGGCTCATCCTGTTTCTTGAGATTCAAAGCCACTGCTTCTCCGAAACCTTGACCCTTAAGACACTCAAACCTCAACCCTCAAACCCTCAACCTCTAACCCCGAAAACCCTAAAACCTTTAAGCGATGGATAACAGGTCTCCTGGCACCCTTGGAACCCTGACTCCTGAGTCATGAGCCAGCCAACTCCTCGACTGATTCCCTCAGCGTTTCGTTCTCCTGGGCAGCTTGCAATGTCTTTGGCCCAAAGCCCCAGCACCTATCTTGCAAAGACTGCTTCCAACCTGGTTCACAACCCCTCTACTGTTATGCCCCAGCTGGCCTCATGAATCCTGAACCTTGAACCACAGCGGCTACTCAGCCCCATGAATCCAAAGCCGTAAACAAACCCTCAACCCAGTCCCATGAACCTTCAAGCAAGAAAGGCCAAAGCGTGACCCTGCAAAAGGAGGCACTCATGAAGCGATTTCAGGGTTTGGGGGTTTAGGCTTTGGGGTTGTAGTCTTTGGGGTTTAGAAGTAAAAGGCTTTGGGTGTGTAAGCATTTTAGGGGTTTAAGGTTAGACCTTAGACCATTATACCCTTATACTCTACCCCGTCTCAGAAGGCCGAATCTGTTGTTATAGAAGATAGTATGAAGTTAGGTGCCCGAAAAATGGAGCTGTGCATAGGTAAAGCCATTCCCCCTCAGAGTAACTGGCATAATAGAAGTCATAACAGGCCGTAATAACACCCCTTTACGGACGTCTTGGGGATGAGTTCGGGCTCAGAATTTTTTGCGGCAGCCCCTGACGGCTCTTGAAGGTCTAAATGTAATCGACAAAGCTGCCGCATCGTCAATTTTGTGCCTTCTTTTATCTAGGTTGGTCCCTAAAGCCCTTTGAAAATATGTGTATATAGGGTCCCCTATTAAAGCCATTAGGGAAAACATTAAATATCCCAGGGCCTACCCAGATATTAGACCCAGCTTTTCAGAAGGCTAATGGCCTACAGGGCTAGTCTTGGACTGGCCCACAGCAAAAGCACCGTGCTTGTACGATGGCCCTCCTAGGGGGCAAAGCATGTATGACCCCTCAGAGAGCCTAAGATCCCTAAACTAAGGAATGTACATGCAATCATATCATACCATCATTTAGGGTATATCGCTCAATTAGGGGATGTTGGTCTTTGTTTGCCCTTACTAGCAAGCCCATTACGAGTCAGGGATCAAGCTCCGACTTGCCGGGATAAGGAAGAAAAGACTGATTCACCCGGAGAGCCCTAAACGACACGAGGATCCCGAATAGGATTTGTTGACGCCTGATTAATAAACCCCCTCCTTTTGAGGGCCTTAATATTAGGATCCCTATTATAACCCCTACTATAAGCCCTATTAAGGGGAAGGGGTTCATTAATCAGGGGTCTGGCTTATATTCCCTAATTTAGGGACCTTGGGATGTCTGGGCATGAAGGGCAAGCATTGAAGGGCTGCTTTCTGGTGGGTACGTCTATTTTGAGCGAGTGAGGTCCAATCTGGGAATCTCGGCGACCTTGTTTAAGTAGTTCGTCCACGCTTGTATACAATCAATTTCCCTTGCAACAAATCTTTACCTGTACACATCCCTCCCTCGTGGATGCAGTGAGGTCTCAAGCCTTATGGCCTTATGCACAAAAACATAAACATAATACGAGCCTTTTCTGCAGAGTAATGTAGACCCATGAGAAATGAACCCCCTCCTTTTGAAAGGTCTTATTATTAGGATCCCTATTATGATTCCAATTAAAGGAAGGGAGTTTATTAATCAGGGGTCTAGGTTATCCAAAATCTGGATGGACAACGCCTAGCAAATCAAACTCGTGGAGCCATCCCTTTCCAAACTAGACTGAACATACACGAAATCAGACCGTGTCCCTGCCAGGGGCGCCCAATGCCCTTCAAGTCGGGAATACACCTCAACTCCCACTAGGGATTTAAGGCCTGTTCCTAAATTAAGTTGTATTGCGCCCTAAACTCTCTGCCCTAAACCCTTAACCCTGAAGCCTAATCCCTCAAACCTTTTTTGTCCAACGCAGCGCCGAGACCCCTGTATAGCCCCCTACAGACCTCTCCTCCTGATATTTGCAGACTTCCTCTCTTAATCTTCGAGCGATGACCAAGAGCTGGCCCTGCAATGCCTGCACAAGCAAAACTTGAGTTGTCTCGAAACAATGTCCCTACAAAAAGGTTGACAGGCCCAGGCACATGTGCATGTGTACATATAGATATATATATATGGACACAGAAGGGTCATACACATATACATATATATATATATGTGTATACACATACATGATGGGGTTGAAGATTTCAAGTGTTCAGGTGAGGGTCTGCGGATTAAGGGCTAGGGGGCAACTCACAGGAGCTTTGGGAACTTAAGGGTTTATGAGCCATAGTCTAAACTCCTTTAAGGGGGTTATATAGGGGACTGCTAAAGGGCTTATGAAGGGGAATACTAGGGGTTTAGACAAGGGCTCATATGGGTGGTTGTCAAAATTATGGTCCCTTTTTTGGATCCCTATTAATTATAGTACGGCCCCTAATATTTAGGGTACCCAAAAGGGGGCCATAATTTTGACAACCACCCATATGGGGATTACATAGGGGTGATGGAGGATCATGGAGGAATGTAGCAAGTAGTGTGCGGAGGGGTTTGAGGTGCTCCAAGCTCAAGGGTGACCTTGCAATAACACTAGTATCCCCCTTAAATAATGGAGAATCAAATGGAAAAGAACATGGAAAATGAAATGGAAACCCTAAGTCCCTTTAAGGAGTATATAGGGATAGTATCCCCAATAATGGAGAATCAAATGGAAAAGAAAATGGAAAATGAAATGGAAACTGGGATTATATAGGGGATTATAGGGGATTATGCAGGCTTTAAAAAAAGTAGGCGCCTAAGTAAATCGAATGGGTTTTGTTACGGGTACTTGTATAGATATGAAGAGTATGAAGGGATCCTTTTTGGTAAGTATTCAGGCAGAAGGCTTCCGCATGAATTGGCCGTTTGCCGGCCCTTGCTGGATCCATGAGTTTGAGGAGCTGTTAAAGAAAACTCAGGTTTGTTCAAAGTCCTGGTGGTTAGAGTTAGCCTATCCCTCCTTGGTTGTGCGCTTGGGCCCACAAAAACATGGAGCTACTAAAGCGACATCAGCGCCATTGCGGCCCTCCCCACACCGTTTTGACTTTCTCGGAATGGGGGCGTCTAGGGTCTGGTTGATGGCACTTGGTAGGCTCAGCTGACGTCAATGGCATAGCACGCTTCATCAGCATCCTAGCACCCTAGAGGTGGATGCTGCGGGGGTGCAGGTAGACAGCTACTCAAACAGAAAGCGCCACTTTGAGGGCCATTCATAAACATTCACTTTTTGGAATTCAGATACAGGATTTCATATATCTGAAAAATCTTCCCCTATCATAAAAGTATGATGTGATATCTATACGCTTTCATGGTGAAGAGACAAAGCTTCATACCAACAGAGAATTGGGAGGGGCATTTCCTCGGACTAGAAGGATGCAGTTTGCAGAGGCAAAATAATTCTGCATGCTATGGTCCTCATCCAAAGAACGAGCCCTCTGAGGGGAACATTGAAATAAACAACCAGGTCCGTAGGAAGTCTAGGCAAAATCTCTACAAAACCCTAAACCCTAAACCTCTGCTTGTGGAATTTTTGGCGAAAGCTTATCACATGAAAGAATGCTGTTACGTGAAGTCCAAAAAACTACCCATCATGCTTTAGGGTTTTAAAGGGTTCTACAAGGATCTCTACACAGAAGGTAAGATGATATAAAGGCGTGTTTGCAATGAAAATACTTTTATGCGACAATCGCAGGCCCTCACAGCGGCCCACCCTCCCCAAAAACAACACCAATAGCAATAACAATACTAATAATGATAATAACGATTCATAGTAGAAAAGGCGCACCCACTAGCTTACGTGATCGATGAACGGTCAGTTCAATGCAGGTGCCTAAAACAATTGCCAGCAACATGTCAGGGTGTACCTCAGGTAACCTGAACCAAACAAGGAATCCAGGACAATAACGTTGGTAATGATTTAGGCCCCCGCATTACTTCAGGGCAGAAACGTTGCAACCGTCAAAAAGACAGCCCTAGGCAAACCTCTATTACAATGCCTGCTCTGCTAGAATCCATCTGTAACCCCCGAACTCCATCTTTCTTTTTGGGGTCCACATGGTAAGGACTACATACAATATTCTGGCAT